AGCTAACCGGCCATCCGTATATAGGGATCCGAACCCTTGGCCTTGGTGTTATCAGCACCACACTCTCCCAAGTGAGCCACGGGCCGGCCCTTGAAAATGTTTTCCATGTGCACTTGAAACCGATGAATATTCTCTTGTTGTTTGGTGTAGCATTCTGCAAATGTCAGTTAGGAGAAATTGATAGTGTGGTTCAAATCTTCTGTATCCTTACAAATTTTCTGTCTACTTTTTCTGTCAATTACTGAGAGAGGGACATTGAAATTCTCCAAGCATAGTTGTATATTTATTTTTCCTTTTCATTTCTATCAGTTTTTTCTTCATGTATTTTGAAGCTTGTTATTAGGGGCACAAATGTTCAGGATTGTTACATGCTAATGGTGAATCTACCCCTTTCTCATTATGAAATAACCTTCTTTATCCCTGATAATGTAGTCTTTGCTCAGAAATCTACTTTGCCTGATATTAATATTGCCACTCCTGCTATATGCATATTTTGATTAGTGTTAGAATGAAACATGTTTTTTATTCTCTTTTGACTAAATTTGTGCTTTTATTTATATTCAAAGTGGATTTCTCTCCCACTTAATATAGATGGAATTATAGAAATACAAAATTACCACTAAGTAAACACTACAGTAGAATTTGTTGCAAGAAAATTACACTAATGGATGCTAAAATCAGTGGGTGAAAGTCTGAGGAAAAAGCGTTATTTAGGTAGTCTTAGAGTAGCTCTCCTATGATATTTATTAATTACAAAGGTGAAAATAGTAACTTTATGTGGAGAGTCCTGGCAAACGCCACCATAAACAAGTGATCCAAGGATGGCATCACCAGTAATCAGGCTTACTGACATTGTGCACCTCCTGATGTGATGCTTGTTACCTCTGTGATATTCTTGCCAAAAATGCAAAACCTCAATCTCAACATGAGAGAACATCAGAGAGCCAGCATTGAGAGACATTCTGCAAAGTAGCTGACCAGAGCTCTGAAAGGACCAAGTTCATCAAAGACAAGAAGGGGCTGAAGAACAGTCACAGGGTGGAGGAGATGGAGACGTGATAGCTAAATGTAATGTGGGGCCCTGGATTGGATCCTGGAACAGCAGAAGGACATTAATGGACTAACAGGTGAAATTCAGTCAAATTCTGTAATTTAGTTAGTAATATTGTATGAATGTCAATTTCCTAATTTTGGCAATCTTACCATGGTTCTATAATGTTCTCTTAGGTGAAGGGTTTATAAGAATTTTATACTATTTTTGCAGCTTTTCTTTAAATCTAAGATTATTTCAAAATAAAAAGTATAAAATAAAACAAACTGGGTTTCTTGTAATTGAATGTTTTTTTTTAAATACATTCTCACCATCTGTGCCTTTTAATTAATTATCAATATATGATTATTTTAATATTATTGTTGTTGGGCCGGCCCGGTGGCGCACTGGATAGTGCGCCGCTTGGGAAGCGCGGCGGCGCTCCCG